TACCAGGCAGTGGTGCAGGTACTAGAAATACAGTTAAGAGCAAAGCAGACAAAAATCACTGCCTTAATGTAGTTTACACTGTAGTTGGAGGGACAGGCAACCAGCAAAGTATATGAGATGGTCAGAGATGCTATGGAGAAAAATGAATCCGGAAAGCAGATGAGCGGAGAGTGCTGGTTTTGAACGGGCCTGTCAGAAGGACTCGGCCGAGCCTCGGGCCTCGTGTGCTTGGGGGAGGATCTCAGGTGCAGGGAACAGCACACCCTGAGGAAGGAGAGCTGGGCTAGGAAATGAGAGCTGTCAGAGCCAGAGCTCCGTGACAAGGCCGGGAAGTGCAGGGTGTGTTTGGGGTCCGGGAGCTGTCTTCAGGGACTTGGCCTTCGACCTCCGGATGGTTTGGAGCAGTGGAGTGACAGATTGGCCCTGGCTACTTCGGTGAGCGGGGAGGGGCTGCTGCGGTGACCTGGCTAGAGTGGGAGGGCAACGAGAACTGGCCAGATTCTGGGCGCACTCTGAAGGGAGGGGAGAGTCAGGACTTGTTGATGAGCGGGACATGGGATATGTGAGGCAGGTAGGAGAAAAAGACCTCTGAAAAGCTAAAACCTGTAAACTTACTCCCATTTTATAGATGGGAAAACTGAGGTTGGAAGAGCGACTGGTGCCAAGGTCATTAAGCTAGAAAGTCAGTAAAGCTAGGGTGCTTGCCAAGGTTTGTCTGCATTCCTTAGGCTTCCCTCCCACTGCGGGCCTCCTGCCCTGCCTCACTCACCTACTGGAAGATTCAGCTGACCCAGCGCCCAGGACCATCTTGTTTCTGCAGTGATTAGTAAACATTAATCTATGGTGTTGAAACGGTCACTGTGGAAATCTTTCTCATGGTGCACCTCAGCCAGAGATAGTTTTCTGACTGTATGATAGCAACTCAGAACATCACTAGGTAGATGAAGGGCCTTACCTATTTCCAGACAACTTCATTCTACTACCTCCTGTGGAGGTTTAGTAGTTTTTCCATGGAATCTTTTTCACATTAGACTCCAGGAAATTGTGAGTTTGTGCATTGTCACCACTGGCTTTTATTTTTATTTATTATTTTTTTTAGTCCCCCAGCCCCCCCTTATTGATTTTCATAGCAACATCCAGATCAGATGGTGAAAACTTCTCCCTGGAAAATGTTCAGTGGGTTTTTGAGGGAAAAAATGTCATTTTCAGGGCTTTGCTATGGGCAGAAAGCCCAGGTGCCTTTCTTTTACTGCTTTTCCCTGTTTTTGGCTCAATAGCTGCAGCTGAAAAATGATAGGAGGAATGCTATTGGTGCCAGGCGGTGCCAGATTAGTGTTGTCCGACATCTGCAGATTCCTGCCCCTCTGGGCTCCCTTAAAGGCCAAGGGTTTGCATGTATCCTCCTTACCCAGGAGCATCAGAACATTTCAGCCACTAACCGAGGTCGCTATTGGGCATGGTAGTCTGGCAGCTGCTCCAAGGTCTCCGGTTAGAGAGAAAGCTTGGAGCTTTGGTGTTTTGGGTTTTGTTTTGTTTTGTTTTGTTTCTGTAGCTTAATAAGAAAGACTCATGCATGTACAAAATAGTTTATATTGCTTCCTCAAGACATTCTCCCTCCACCCCCTCTCCCCCAAACACACACATCAGGAACGTGCCCTAGACTGGATGACCTCATGTTCTCTGCCTGCAAGCACTCTGTCCACAGCATGGGAGGCAGACGTACCACACGGTATCCAGGCTCTTAGCTCACACACACGTCTCAAAGTGGCCTTTCTCCAGATCCCACTCAAACCCCAGCATTGGGCAACAGATGCACCACCAGCATCGCACTCCAGGGGGAAGCCCCCTGAGACAGAAGGCCCTGACACGTGGCATCGCCTCCTACCGGGCGTGGACACACATTTGTGTGCACATGCACAACTGCAGCTGGCTCTCTGCTGCCCACCTGCCTGCACTCCCCTTGCCTGGGCCCTCGCCTGGACCACCTGCACTGCCCTGAGCCGGGTGCTGCCTCTCTTCATGGTCAATCAGTATGCAAGCTACAGATCTGCAAGGCAGTGCCAGGGGGCTGGAGAGCTTCCATCTGGACTTTGTGGTGAGGCCCTCAAGGGACATTGTTTCCCTGCCTCCATTCTCCCTTGAGGCAGCTCCCTTGTATACACCCCTCTCAGACACGGGCCCTCATCTTCCCTGAATGAGACTGAGCAGGGTAACAGTGAGCAGAAGTGATGTGGGAGAGGATGGTCAGAGCCCAGGACACCCTGTCCTCTGAGAGCTCCAACTCCAGACTCACTGCGCTGACACGCAGTGTGCTGCTCCAGGCACGGGGAGACCATCGACAACCTGGTACTCTATAACTGGGAAGGAAATACTCACACCAATGGCTGTAATTCACCACATCCCTGCTGTCATAAAAGTATGCTGGAGGAGGGCCCACGAAGCAGCTGGCCCACCCCGCACCCTCTCTGACCAGGCCCACAGGAGGAGGGCTTTGAAGAAGACATGACTGCTGCTGGGTTGTGGGAGTTTCCCAAGTGTAGTGGGGCACCCAGGCCTTGGGAAGGCACATGGGAAGCATGGGCCCTTGTGAAGACCTGGCCTGCTGGGCGTGGTTGACAGGTGCTCTGTCCAGCGCTCAGGCACAGACGACGGGCACAGGAGAGGAAGGGGGCAGCTTGTGAAAGGGGCGCTCACCCTGTCTCCCCCAACCCCGACTTCTACTCCATGTGCTTCCTCTGTCTCCCTAGTTTACTTGGCTTTAATTCATCACCATAATGGTAGTCCTGTCTGTGCACATTGAGGAAAACTTGAGTCTGATGCATATAATATGATCCTAGAGCTAATTTTCATGGTGTTGACCGCCTCCCACTGTTGCAGATCTTTTTTCAATAGTTATCATTGTTTTCACATAAGAATTCTAGGCTCCATTTACAAAGTGTGTTGCTTTAATTTTAATTTATTATTTTTTTAGACCAAGTGTGCGTACAAGTTGAGTGGGGCACTGGGAGCGGAAAAGAGAATTGTAGGCTGGCTCCATGCCCACCATAGAGCCTGAAGTGGGGCTCGATCTCATGACCCTGAGATCGTTACCTGAGCCAAAATCAAGAGTCAGATGCTTAACTGACTGAGCCACCCAGGTGCCCCCAAAGTGTGTTTCTTTTAAAAAGTTGTTCACAACTGCAGCATAGCTGAAATGACATGAGGGAAGCCACGGGGCCTGGTATGCAGAGCTCAGGGCCACGGTCTTGGGGCTGGACAGGTCTGTGGAGTACCGGAAATGCAGCCCGTCCAGCTGGGATGGGCTGCAAATGTAAAAGGCATGTCAGATTTTGAAGACTTAGTACAAAACAAAGAATAGAACATATCTCATGTTTTAAAAAAGGTTGTTTAGTTTAGGAAGAAGACCTGTCCCCTGAGGGTAGTTACTAGAAATCCAAATTTGCAGGTCCTTGAAAAGGGCAAGAACAGATAGCACTAGAGAGTCTCAAACCAGCCTTCTTCTTCTCACCACACTGGCTTCTCTGACTTTGCTGTCTTGTTAACTCTACCAATAACTCGGGATTTTCCAAATCATCATTGACTTCATCCTCTCTGTTGCTCTGTCATCAGCTTGACCCGCACAGACAACATCCTATAATTTCAGTTCCTCTTGCCATTTCCCCTGGTGCAGCCCCCTTGGTTCCACTCTCCAACGAACCCATCATCTCCCCAGTAGGTTTAGGAACCCCCACCCCTCCCTCAGGCTACTGTGGCAAAGTCCTCTCCAGCCTGGCTCCCACCACACGCGCTGCCATCATCACAAAACTCTCTTTCAGTGAATCCCAACCATAACTCAAGGATGCTGGGAACTTGACACACATCATCTCACCTCATTCTCCAAAAAGAAAGAAAATAGTTTCTAAAATAGAGGAGGAAGCTCAGAGAAAGTTTCTGGGTCCTGTGCCTACAGACGGGTAAGGCTAGAATTCAGACCAGACTCTGTGACTCTACAACCTGTTCTCTTTCTATAGTGTCAGGGGGCCTATTTTCAAAACCTGTCACTTCCTACTCAGAATCCTGAAGGAGCCACCCTACTGCTTACCGTAGACTCTTGAGGCACCCCCCCATCCCAACTTTTCAAATCTCATATTAGATGGATGGGTGTCCATATACCGTGTGTTTCCAGTTGGGCCACATTTGGTTCTCAATCAAGAGCCATCTCAAGTATTTTAACAAGCCAGCTACTTCCATGAAGGCTGTCTCTGTCTTCTTCACAGGAATGTTCTTTTTCTCTGTATAATTCCCTCTGCTGGATGACAGATTAGCCATGGGGAGGGTAGCCTACTGTCCTAGGAAAAAGAAAAATCTGAATGCCAAGGTGGGCATTCCAAAATGTTATAGCCATCCTTAAACTAAGAGAGAATGCTATACTCATTCTCTTCTTTTTTTGTCAAAGGTCCTATATAATCCTTAACCCTATAAGTTCCAACCTTTTCATATTATGGACACCTGGAAAGAATGATTACACATTTGCATTTATGACGCTATCAATACCTTTTGATTTTGGTTAGCACCACTGCCTTGCAGGTGAAAGATGGAAGCAGAACACTGTTTTAAAAATGATTGTTTTCATTTTCTTTATCTCCTCAAGCTTCAGCACATGACTTAGAAATATAATCTGCATTTATATATTTTGTATATGCTTTGGAGCACAAATTGTCAACCAAATCACACATAGTTTACCCAGTATCCTAAGTGGCAAAGTAATGGTGTGTGTTAACATTGGCAGTGTCCTCGGGGATGTTCTCCTTCCCACTTACTGTGGCGCTTGGCCACAACTGCTACCTTTGGATTGACAGGTCTGTAGGAATTTTCTAATAATTTCTTATTCTAGGTAAGACCCACATGATTCCTTCACCTTGTGGGTATGTTCTCAGAAGTCATTTATTTTGTCATTAAATTTTTTGTTGTTGTTGTTAGCTTTGTCTTTTTAACTGCAATCCATGCCATTGCTTTTTTAGTTTCTTCAGATGGAGGTACTGAGTCTGCTGCCTTAGTGGATGACAACGGCAGTGAGGAGGACTACAGCTATGAAGATCTCTGTCAGGCCAATCCCAGATACCTACAGCCAGGAGGGGAACAGTTGGCCATCAACGAGGTACTAGAATTCACACGTGACAGTGGCGAATCTTGGATACCCAGTTTCCTGGATGCAGGATCACTTAGACTTTGCCCTCTTGATTCTTTTTTTTCCCCCCCTCTCTCCTTTTTATAAATATTTATTGGGGGGGGTACACACAAGTGAGGGGAGGGGCAGAGGGAAGGGGAGGAGCAGACTCCCCGCTGAGCAGGGGGCCCCACATGGGGCTCCAGTCCACTACCCTAAGATCATGACCTGAGCCAAAATCAAGAGCTGGATGCCTGTTGACTGAGCCACCTAGGTGCCCCCTATTGGTTCTTTCTTTTATTTTTTTAAGATTTTATTTATTTTTCCACGAGAGACACAGAAAGGCAGAGACATAGGCGGAAGGAGAAGCAGGCTCCCTGTGGGAGCCCAGTGTGGGACTTGATTTGATCCTAGGATCCTAGGATTACGACCTGAGCCAAAGGCAGGCGCACAACCACTGAGCCCCCCCAGAAGTCCCCCTCTTGATTATTTCTTACCAGACATATTCTAAAACCTAGAACTCTGATATTCTAGCATTTTCAAGGACAGTTTATCTAAGTTTTCCAGATAACCAAAGCTCACTCACAGCTCTAAGTAATAAGAGCAGTGACTACTGCTCAGTGCTTAGGTAATGCTTTTCAGTTCACAAAATGCTCTTCCTCACATTGTCTCAGAAAGATCTCACAACCAGTCTAAGAGGTAGATGTTAGAATTATTACCCATATTTTAATAAACACTCTGAAACTAAGAGGCTGCACCACTTGCTAGTAAATGGCAGAACTGACATAAACCAGGTCTTTCTCACTACAAATCTGGTGTTCTTTCCACCACTGGGCATCTTCAGCCCTTTTTTGTGGAAATCTTTCTAGAAGGTGCTACTGGCTTTTGGAGTTCTTGAATAGAGCATGTGGAGTGTCACTTCTTGGTGAGTTCGCATCTCTGTTAATAATACCAGTTGTGGCTGTAGAATATGATGATGTCTCTCAGTGCTGAGGGGACCTGCAGCCATCTTTTCATTGGCTGGTAAATATCTGGAGATGGCTCTTTTCTCTTTAAAAGTTAGATTAAAACTTTATTCAGATGGTGAATGAAGTATGAAGAGTAAGTTGTAGGTGAAGCCACAAGGGTCTTGCAGTAAAGTATGTTCATAACCATTCGAGGCCTGGCTCTGTGTTTTTTAGTTTGTTCGAAAACCATATTAGGGGTGAATATTTCAGATACTCACATTCCTTAGATAACTGACATGTAGATAAGTGAGCTATTTTTCTACCTTCTTTAAAAAAGTAGATTTGGAGTTTCCTTTAAGAGCATATGAGGGACGCCTGGGTGGTTCAGCAAGTGAGCATCTGCCTTCAGCTCAGGGTGTGATCCCTGGGTCTGGGATCAAGTCCCACATCCGTCTCCTTGTGGAGAGCCTGCTTCTCCCTCTGCCTGCGTCTCTGCCTCTCTGTGTGTCTCTCATGAATAAATAAATAAAATCTTTAAAAAAAAAAAAAAGCACATGAGAGACACCTACCCGTTTCCCTTAATGTGGAAACTCCTTTCGTATAATCATCAAAGGCCAAGTATTGACCGCAAGCCAGCAGTATGTACATATATGAGGTAGAAGAGTCTGTGTCACCCTGGGAGAGCTCACAGCACATCCCTTGCTCTTCCGCCCACCTGGTTTGGCACTAAGCATGTCCCCGTTGCAGCTGATCGGCGATGGCAGTGTGGTCTGCGCAGAAGCCCTGTGGGACCACGTGACCATGGACGACCAGGAGCTGGGCTTCAAGGCAGGAGATGTCATCCAGGTTCTGGAAGCCTCCAACAAGGACTGGTGGTGGGGCCGCAATGAGGACAAGGAAGCCTGGTTCCCCGCAAGTTTTGTCAGAGTAAGTGTGTGACGCTTACAAACGTGTCTTGCGACTGTCTGTGGTGGGCCCTAGAACTGTGGTGTCAGGCTCAAGCCTACTCTGTACAGGTTCGGTTCTTTGTAATCACTTTAATGAAAGCGTTCAGGAATCAGACTGGATTGAAGGAGAAATTTCAACCGTGGTCAACCAGTTGTTTGGCGTTGCCACTGAGGTTTGAGCCGCGGGCACAGCCCTGGCTCTGCTGAGTGCAGGAAGCCTTAGCCTAGGGCCAGGCTGCCTTCCTCACAACCGTAGAGAAGTGGAACCCCGGGGCCTTCCGCCTGCTTCTGGTCACCACCTCCCCCCGAGTCACTGATCACCTATGTGTGTGGCTTGCAGTTGCGTGTCAATCAGGAAGAGCTGTCAGAAAATTCCAGCAGCACCCAGGGCGAGGAACAGGAGGAGGATGCTGGCAAGAGCCGCCACAAGCACGCAGAGAGCAAGCACCAGATGAGGACCAATGTCATCCAGGAGATCATGAACACTGAGCGAGTGTACATCAAGCACCTCAAGGACATCTGCGAGGTAAGACGCCAGACCCTGTGGCCTCCCCCAGGTTGTCGTGCAACCATGTGATACTCCTGATAGGCCCTCGGTCAGACCCTCCTTTTATATTCTTTTCTGTGGTGCTCCCTTCTCCTGGCCCCTTTCCGTCCATGTGGCCCCTGCCCAGAGTGCGCCCTCACTGAATACTTGTCTGCCCCTGTGAGCATCGGTGGCTCTATACTCTGGTTAGGTTTCTGGGCACCATGCAGCCCTCTCTTCGAGGACTTACCCCCCAAGATTATTCAGAGAAGGCAACGCCCTTTCCGTGAAACCCAAGTGATTTGACAAAGGTCTGTCACTGTTTACAATCTCACTGCATTGAATCACTGACTCACAGATTAGTTTCGGAGTCATTTAGATGCAGACCAAAAAGAAGAAAACTGGTTTTATCTAGTGCTACCCAAGGCTGTGTTTGGCAGTGTCCTGGTATTCTACTGTGCAGTCACATCTGCCTCTCCCACAATACTCTTACCCTCTGCGGGTTCGGGATGAGCGCGACACTACACTGCTGTTGGCCCCGTCTCATCTTTCCTTCGGTCCTGGCTGTGAATGCTGAGGTCTGCACTCCCAGCTCAGCCCCGAACATCCAGCGCCGAAGACGAGCTGAAGCGAGACAAGTGCCCATTCTATAATCGGATTAACTAGCCACATAGAGATTGAGCAATTGTTTAGCTTCTATATGCGAACCGTCTTGTTCCATGTAAGTGTATAGTTACGGGAGGTTTTTTTTTTTTTTAAGTGCCGTTTTAGGAAAACAAGTCATGGCTAATAGTTGAGCTTTGTGTGCCATCCCTTTCCTGGATTAACTCCTACAAACACTCCCATCAGCTGGTCCTCTTAACGCCTCTCCCCCCCTTTACAGATGAGAGAACTGAGGCACACAGCAGGTGAAGTGGTGGGGTTGGGATTTAAACCAGACAGTGTGCACTAGAACCTGTATTTTGAAGCTTTACACTGTCATTCTGTTAAAGTTTGTACCAAAAGTGAGTGGTATGTGTTTTATCATGCAGTCCACTTAGGCTGTGTAATCACATGGTGCTGATTTGGGGAAAAGTATCACACATATTTATGGCCTTTCCTTCCCACCGCACTAACTCCTACCCAGGCCATAGCACAACTTAGGGTGCTGTTCATAAAGAATGAATCGTGCGCCAATCTGTGTGGGCCTTGGATTAAAGTTCTGCAGATTTATGCTCCATGCAGAAAAGAGGTGATGGTGGAATCTTTGGGTAAGACGTTCCTGGCTCTTTGCCATGACAGTGAGCCAGCTGCATGAGCTATTCAGCAAGCTGTGCTATTCCGTATTTGACAAGTCTTCTCGGCTGTGAAATGAAATTAGGGATGGGAGAATGATCATCTTAAGAGTTTAGAAAAAGTGTTACAGTCCCAATGTTTGAACTTTAATATTTGAAGCCAAGCAACTTTGTTTTATGAGTATAACCTGCAAACTTTATATAGTTCCTTGCATTACAAATCCAACCACATTCACCTGTTCTCTTTCCTTTCGTCTTTAAAATATTCATAGCATACTGTAGTCACAGAAGTATCATTATCCCAGCAGGGACCCATAGGGTTAAAATGATTTTCTCTAATTAAAATCCATTCCAAGATAATGGCTATGGGCCCAAAAAGCTACATTATTCAAATAATGATTTCTCTGGATCTCCAAATTAATTTTTTTAAAGTTTACTTTTCTGTTTTGCAGGGCTATATTCGACAGTGTCGCAAGCACACGGGAATGTTCACTGTTGCACAACTAGCCACCATTTTCGGAAACATTGAAGATATTTACAAATTCCAAAGAAAGTTCCTGAAAGATCTTGAGAAACAGTACAATAAAGAGGAACCTCATTTAAGTGAAATAGGATCCTGCTTTCTTCAACATGTATGTCACCTGTTACTTCTTATTAATAACATCCTGTTAAATAATTTTGAAGTGTTTCCCCAGAATAGAAATGAGGCCTTTTTTGTTCTGTTTTGTTTCTTGCTCTGTTTGCTGGATTAATTTCCTATGGAATGGAATGATGTCAGTTGCAAATTAAGTTGGTGGGTTATATGGTTAATCTTTACCTAAATACCTCCAAGATTTCAAAATCTTTGCACTTTTATGAACCTTTGAGGGCTTTTAGAATTGTATTTGGAGTAATTTCTCATAATACCTACTAAGTGGCTATTTTATGTTAAGCACTGATTCCAGGGTTTTCTTACCTTAGCTCCTGTACTGCTATAGAGAAGGTATGATTATTTTACCCATTTTCTACATCGGAAACTATAGTCCAGAGAGTAACCAACTCAGGATCACACATTAGTATGGGGGCAGGTGTGGATTCAGACTGAGGTGTGCGGCTCTGGGACCCCTGCTCAGGATGCCCAAATTGCCTCTGAACAGTCTTGTGATGATGGCGAGCTTATTAACTGAGAATTGACTGCCCGTGTTTACTACTAACAGATTTCAGAGGAAGGAGACTTTATTCCCAGCTCAAATGGGTGTAATGATTGTAATAATAACAGCACTGACCGCCACCACCTCTTCAGGCAGCACTTGCTGGGTACCCACCCCAGTGACTATGCAGAGGCTGAGTATCCCCAGATCCTCGGGGGCTGGGTTGATTTTAAACAGCTGAAAATGAGGCTGTGGTGGACGGGCAAGTAGGAAGATTGGCCCCTTGAGTGCACTGGGCCTGTTTGGGACGTGGTGAAAGGCCTGTTTGGCCAGAGCACAAGGTTCCAAGAGAGATACTTCAGAGGTCAACGAAGGTCAGGCTGCAGCAGGGCAGGGTCTGGTGAAGACAGAGCCTCTGGGTGGGGGCCTTGCCTGGACTGGAACAGCCAGAGAGTTTGGCTGAGGAGCAAGACTTTGCTGTTTCTAGGGAGGGGGGGGAGGGGGGCCTGGGTACGGGTGGCTGCAGTGCGGATGTGGAAGAACAGCTATGTTGGCGTGGGGATCTTTGAGAACCAGCTGACAAAACCGATCTTGGGGAACATGGAAGAGCAGCAGTTGGAACTGCCTGCAGGGTGTTGTGTCCCAGAGAATGAATGGGTGGGTTAGGGAAACCTGCCTTGTAGGGAAATAGGCATCTGGTGTGGACATGTTGTGTTGAGCATGGACAGATATAAACTGTGGGGCAGGACACAGGCTGAAGGGCTGTGGGCAGGGTAGACAACTGTGAGCCAGCAGCCTGGCCACAGTGGCCACCGTGGGGAGGGGTGCAGGGAGTAGGGGAAAGGCTACGACGCATGCACAGGGGACTGGCAGGGTGCTGCTCGAGTCCCAAGAGAGAAGGGCAGGTGTCCCAAGGCCTGGCAGGGTGGCTGCAGCCTTGAGGCAAGAAGTCTAGGCAAAAGGAAGTGAGCCAGGGCTTTCAGTTGGAGGTCAGAAGGGACATGCGTGTGGAAGCCAGAGGGTAGGATGTCAGGGAGAGGACTTGCAGTGAGGCGAGCAGGTGGTGGTCTTGCATCCTCACTTCTTGGTCATGGTCACGACTATATGTATCAGTGAAAGTAAAGAGGAAAGCGGGAGAGAGTTGGACTTGTTAGAGCCTGCCTTTTTCTTAGAGCAGAGCTAGGGCGGAGACGGTGGTGGGAGAGGGTGCTGCTCATCCAGGAAGCCCCATGTGGCTGTGACACACCCTTTTGGGGTACACGGAGGGGGCTTTGAGTGGGACCAGGGTGCCACCTGCAAAGATTACCCCTTCCCCCTCTCTCACCCTTCCAGCTCCCACCCCCTGGTCTGTAAGTGGTCCCTCCCTACAGAGAAGATGTAGGCTTATCGCCCAGGTGTGAAGAACATAGCAGAACACCTTGGGGTGCCTCCTTTCCAGGATTCCCCTCGGATAGGGCTGCCTGTAGCCTGTCCTTGTCATGGCCTCGAGCCCACCTATAACCTGACACAGCTGTGCTTCCCCTTCCCAGCAAGAGGGCTTTGCCATCTACTCCGAGTACTGTAACAACCACCCTGGCGCCTGCGCGGAGCTGTCCAACCTGATGAAGCAGGGCAGGTACAGACACTTCTTTGAAGCCTGCCGCCTGCTCCAGCAGATGATCGACATCGCCATTGACGGCTTCCTCCTTACGCCGGTGCAGAAGATCTGCAAATACCCTCTGCAGCTGGCCGAGCTGCTCAAGTACACCACGCAGGAGCACAGGTGAGAGAGGCATGTGCCTCTGGGAGATGTGCACACAGAGCCTGCCCTATGGGGTGGAAGCAGTGCCGGCACTCTCAGCCCTGCGCCCAGCACTCAGAGCCTCGCAGAGTGGCAGTGACAGGTGGGCTTAGGTGTCCTCTTGACACTCTCAGTTAGTATTATGGAAGAAATTGTCACCTTGCTTAGAATGTTCAGGATTATGAAGTCTTGAAATAGGGTCATTGAAGAGGCTCCAGAATACCCATTCCTAGAGATACTGAAAAAGTAAGAATAATTCTTTAACTGTGTCATGAGCACATAGGGATTTGTATTGTAATGTTAGTCCTTGTAACTGATGTATATTTTACAAATCCTTTTTTGTAGCTATTAAGTAGTTAATAAAACAATTTTTAAAAGACCTACACCAGTGTGAATACAGTTTCAGAAATATTTTACTTCCCGTCCTAAGGCAGCTCACCCTCAGCACAGTATCTCGTACTGCAACAAAAAGTTGCTTTACTGATGGGTGAGGACTTCCAAAGTTTCAACCCTGCAATCAGAGTGGGGAATCTCAAGGGTACACAGAGTAGTGTGCAGGGTCAGCTTGGAGAAACGTTGCACCAAGATCCTGTCTAGCTCTACGCCCTTTTTTTTTTTTTCCCAAGATTTATCTATTTATTTTAAAGAAAAAGAGCATGCATGTACGCTTGTGAGTAGGGGGAGGGGTGAAGGGAGAGGAGAATCTCCAAGTAGACTGTGCTGAGCACAGAGCCTGACACGGGGCTTAATCTCATGCCCCGGAGACACTGTGACCTGAGCCAAAACCGAGAGTTGGATCCCACCGAGCCACCAGGTGCCCCTAAGACCTTTCTTGCCCAACCAACCGAGTGCTTGCCCTGTGTCCGTAATCCATCCCACCCCATCCTCTTAACACATGGAGCACGGGGCTTCTCATCATGGTCACCTACTGCTCCATTTCCTTGTGGAGCTTACTTTGTCCTTAACTAAGCTCTTCTGGAGAAGCCAAAAAGTAATCCGTTGCTTACTTCATAACAACTCACTGTTTTCCTGCATGTACATGAACAGAATGATGTAAAACTGTGCTGTGATTATACATGAGATCTCACCCATTCAGTATTGGGATGGGCAGGCTGTTTTGTGCCATTCCCCAAGAAGTGCAGGTCCCAACCATGTGGTGCCTTTAGATGGCACTGGTTGAGTCATCGCTATGTTCTCACCAGGCCAGAATTGGAATGCCAGTGGGCAGGGTTTGAGGATGAAGCCTTACTGTTTTAGGTAAGAATCAAACCTCACCTATGACGTCCATATACAAAGCTTTCAGTGCACCTGCAGCCCTTGAATGGATGATTTTGAAAGATTCCAGTATGAGGTGGAGTGGGGGACAGGATGGGTACCCAGAGGAAATTTGCTGTGCTAGCCCACAACAGTGCTGGGTTTTAACAGGTAAGTGTTGCCCTGATGGCAATCAAATTAGCCATGGCAGTGCCTGGCCCTGCAGGGTGTGCAGAATGGAGCATTCTTTTGTCCTGTCTGCTGCCAGACTCCTGTGGAGACATAGGGCTTGCAAAAGGAATCTTTTTGCAATTAGATTGGAAGGTAGAAAGAGAAAAAGAGCTAGGTTGCCAAACAATAGACCCTAGATGTGGATGTTAGTTTAAAGAATTAAGATTAAAGGAATAAGAGAAAGGAGTTCATTGAAGTAGATAAAAGGGAAGAGAGCTCTATATTTTTTTTTCTGATGGAAAAATCAGAAAACTTGAAGGAAAATAGCAAAGTCAAGAGAGCCACAGATTTGAAGAAAATGTTAAAACAAAGAATAAAAACATACCATGATGGGAAACTAGAGAAAATATATAAGAGAGTAAGACATGGAAAGGAGATTGGTACATTCCAAGATGGGAAAGGTATGGCCAGAAGTCCATGTATCATTCTTTAGCAGTTAATTCTTGTTTAGACACATTTTCACTAGGAGGTATATGCATATTTGGGCAATTTTACAAAAAAAAAAAAATCCTTTTAAAGGAAATGACAGAAAGCCCATTTCCTTGTCTTCAGGAAAACAAAACAAATTTTTTTCCCAAAAGACCATTATACTCTGCCTCTTTTCTGGAATTGACAGAAAATCTTGAAGGAAAAAATATACGATTATTTTGTACACTTTTTTCATTGCTGGAGGCCTTGGGTGGGTGGTTGCTCCATTATTTTGGCAGCCCCCTTGTATCTGTATTGTTCTTCCTTTGTGCTCTGCTTCTGAGTGTGAATACCCTGTCTAAAGGCAGCGGGTCGGCCTTGTGGGGGAATGCCCAGGGACTTCCCAGGAGCTGAGTTATTTGTGTTTGGTAAATAGACAATAGAGTCTACTTCCAAGGCTTTTTTCCCTTGCTGTGCAGGAGGATTCTAATTCAGTGCTCCTGAGATCCTAAGGCTCTATCACATAAGACACAGGAAAGTGCTGGAAAGTAAAGAATTGAGCTCATTACCTGGGTGATTGGTTTACATGTGCCCAAATTATTAACGCTGAGCAAAACCCGAATATCAAACTTTCCAGTACTAGCCATGCTCTGCACTAGTCTGTGTGGAGTTTGTCTCCCTGGTACCTACAGTTTTAGAAGCTGAAGGAACAAGAGCCTGCTCCCGAGGACATTTTAGTCTGATCTGACTGTAGCCTATGGAAGCAGCAGAAATGAGGGTCTGTCAATGAGGTGAATATGGTGTTAGTATTTACATAACTCACCGTGTCAAGCTTCTGTGGCTTGTGTCCTGTTTGTATCCTTTCTTGAACATCGTAAAGGATGAGACTCAAAGTGAATAATTACTCTTGAGGACAGTTAGTGATTATTAAAGTACTTCATATGGCAAAACTGGCTAATAGGAGAACCGAAGCAATCATAAAGATGGTCCTTTTCTTATTAATGAAAATAACCCATTGTCACTGTGACTAAAAGTTATTTTGTGGCATTTACTTTCATTCATTGTGATTTCTGGGAAATGAATGAAAACATTCTTATTCCAAAGAATTCTGGATTGCATTCGGTCAGTTCCCTTAACCTATGGAAACTGTGGTCTATTCATGAAGGAACAAGAAAAAGGAAACAATGGCCATTATCTAAATGCCACTTTGTCTAGACTGTTAGTATATGAATCCAGGATGCAGTGTCTTACTTTGTCAGTCTTCCTCTGCAAGTTTCAGGTTATATGGTTAAAATGAACCTTCTACTTTACAGTGATTACAACAACATAAAGGCAGCATATGAAGCCATGAAGAACGTAGCCTGTTTGATCAACGAGCGCAAGCGCAGACTGGAAAGCATAGACAAGATAGCACGGTGGCAGGTGTCCATCGTAGGCTGGGAGGTAAGTGCCTCGTGCCTGCACCTTGTGCCGCCCAACGCTGCTCATGCCCTCCCTCGCTCTGGTCTAGTTTGATGACACACTGTAACATCTTGTGATCGATGTTTTATATTCTTGGCTTTAACGGTATATATATTTTGAAGCATATGGTTGAACCTAACAGTCAGCTGCTTTACCAGTAACTCATTTCCACCAAAAAAATCAACCCTGAAGAGTGTCTGTGATTGATTTATGGTTTGTGCTTTGTCTCTCCTGCTAGAAATAACACACCATGAGAGTAACTGGAGAACATTTTCTAAATATTATTTACTTATTTATTTGAGAGTGAGGGTAAGCGTGGGGGGGGGGGCAGAGGGACACAGAGTCTTCAAGAGACTTTGCACTGAGAGTAGAGTGGGACACAGGGCTCGATCTCACGACCCAGAGATCATGACCTGAGCTGAAACCAAGGGGCAGCCACTTAACCAACTGAGCTACCCAGGTGCCCCTGGAAAAAATTTAAACACTGCCTGTGTTTGAATTGGTAGATCTGGGCAAGATTAAGATTTTCATCCTTAAGATGGGGTTAAAAATGTTGCCTAACTTCATAGAGCTATTGTGAGGATTATATAAGACAGTGGCAAATGCAGTGCTTGGCACAAGTTGTAATAATGGTCCAGCATGCTTTTGTGCACACTCATGCACAAGAACTTATTTGTAAAAACAACCACAGTGACAATTGTCTTGACCACATGCCTGGCACTGGCCTAAGCCATTTTTATATGTGAACTCATTTAGTCCTCTCAATAATCTTATGAGGTAGGAGCTACTATTACCTCCACTTACCAGGCAGGGAAATGGGAACATGGCAAGGTGAAGTGGCTTGCTCTAACAACTCATACTGTTCAGATTGTTTCCAGACCAAGTAAAATTCATCCTGTTACACCTGATCTTAGCCAAAAGGCCAAGAAGCAATAAAATTCATCCTATGTTAAATTAATTGGTCAGAACTCACTGTCCCTAAGGATTAAGAAAGTTTGGATTGAGGAGTTAGGTTTTTAACTAAAGTAGGTTCTAGCAGTGAACATTGGAAAGAAATATTTCTATTTCAGGGGCCACAGAGACTCCTGGAGCTTGGACAGGCCCACAGACATCACTGCGTTTAACACTCTTACTTTGTAAGTGGAGAATCTGGAGCACAGAATTGCTCCAGGCAAGAGAAGTAGAAGAACTATTTTGGAGTCAAGATATTTTGCCTCCTCAAAATATTGTGTATGACTGGGATTGAAGGACAATAAAGTCTTATAAATCAAAGGCCAGTGTCAGGACACCTGGGTGGCTCAGTGGTTGAGCATCTACCTTCAGCTCAGGTCGCGATTCCGGGGTCCTGGGATGGAGTCCCACATCGGGCTCCCTGCATGGAGCCTGTTTCTCCCTCTGCCTGTGTCTCTGTCTCTTTCTCTGTCTCTGTCTCTGTGTCTCTGATGAATAAGTAAATAAAATCTTAAAAAAAAAAAAAAAAGACCAGGGTCATGCCAAATATCACAAAGTTACATTGGGTTCAACCCCACCTAATACCGTAAAGATGTGTTTTAGCCTTGTGTTCTTGGACCGACATTTAGGAGATAATTTATGGTCAGGAGGTTACCAACACCTTGCTGGCAATGTGCTGTCTGGTCTTTTGTGACCAAGATCTGAAGCTAGTTATTATTCTGGGAGCCATTCTCTGCATACCAGCCTATAAAGTCAGAGCCCCAGAGTCAAAAGCACTAAGTCCCCACACTTAGAAGGCCTCCTTAGTATCCTTATTCTCTGAGGAGCAGCCATCTCTGACCAGTTGGAGTCTCCTCATCCAGCACATTTATCACCAATCCTTTCTTGTCAGGAAGTCACTTCAGATACCACAGAGCACTGTAACATTTTCCCATTGAGTAGGAAATAAGGAAAAGAAATTTTGCATCAAGGGAAACTAGCAGCCCGAGATTTAAGTGGCTCTGCTCCCTTGTGGAAGGATGCCTCATAACTGGCAAGTCGGAGAAAGAAGGTGTCAGGACTTGTTCCTGTATCCCTGACCTGTTCTGAAGGAATCGGAGCCTGAAGATCTTAAAATGTGTTTTCATCCTTCCAGGGGCTGGATATCTTAGACCGAAGTTCCGAACTGATCCATTCTGGGGAACTGACCAAAATCAGCAAGCACGGCAAGAGCCAGCAGCGGACGTTCTTCCTGTTTGACCACCAGCTGGTGTCCTGCAAGAAGGACCTGCTGCGCCGGGACGTGCTCTACTACAGGGGCCGCACGGACATGGACGAGGTGGAGCTCGTGGACCTGGAGGACGGCCGGGACAAGGACTGGAACCTCCACGTCAAAAACGCTTTCAAGCTTGTCAGCAGAACCACCGATGAGGTGCACCTGTTCTGTGCCAAAAAGCATGAGGACAAGGCGCGGTGGCTGCAGGCATGTGAGGATGAACGGAGGCGCGTGCAGGAGGACCGCGAGATGGGTGAGCGGCTCCTCTGCCTCCAGCCCCGGCCCCAGAGCCAGCAGTCCTCAGCCCATTCCGGCCATACTTGCCACCCCCTCCCCAGGGGCGGGGGAGATAGGCCAGATCTGCAAATCCTGAATACAGTTGACCCTTGAACCATGTGGGGTTGGGGTGCCGACCCCACACACAGTCAGAAATCCATGTATAGCTCTTGACCCCTGCCAGAACTTATCTACTCATAGCCCACTATTGACTGGAAGCCTCACCTGTAACATAGTTGAGTAACACACATTTGCTGTGTTATATGCATTCTGTGTGGTGTTCTTCTAATAAAGTAAGCTAGAGGAGAAATGTTCTTAAGAAAACCGTAAGGAAGAGAAGATACACTTACAGTATTGCTCTGTATTTATTAGGAAAACCCCGCATATAAGTGGACCTGTAGTTCAACCCCATGTTGTTCAAGGGTCAGCTGTGCTTCTAAACATGCTGTAGGACAGACCAGGACAGGTGGAGCTCCTACGGGCAGCATTTATTCAGTAGGCTCAGGGTGTTGATGCTCATAGCGCCCCACCGCACCCGCTAACGTGTCCTGGTTGGGAGGCTGTCATCCTAGTGTCCATCCTTGTGACCATCGTTGCTACTCTCCATTTGTAGTCTGCTCAGCCTCTTAGAGTTCCTTGAGGAATAAGGTTCTTTGCTGCAGGTTATGTAGAGCACCTCAGGGTTAATATGGGTTATGGCTCTAGTTTTACTCTGCAATGATATCACTTGTTTTTATTTTTTTTAATTCAATTAGTTAACATATAGTGTATTACTAGTTTCAGAGGTAGAGTTCAGTGATTCCTCAGTCTTATGTAACACCCAGTGCTCATGCCATCATATGCCCTCCTTAATGCCCGTCACCCAGTTACCCCATCCCCCACCCCCTCCTTTCCAGCAGCCTTCAGTTTGCTTCCCATGATTAAGGGTCTCTTATAGTTTATCTCCCTCTCTGATTTCGTCTTATTTTATTCCTTCCCCTTCCCGTATGCTCCTGTGTTTTGTTTCTTAAATGCCTCATTTGAGTGAGTCATAGGATAATTATCTTTCTATGATTGACTTATTTCACCTGTTTTGAATATTTCTCATGTCTGTTCCTAAATCCAGGAATGGAAATTTCAGAAAATCAAAAGAAACTCGCCATGTTAAATGCTCAAAAGGCAGGACACGGAAAGTCAAAAGGTGAGTTTTGAAGGAGGCTTCATTCATCTCCTTATCTCCTTCGTGTGTATCAGTACTGGAATTAAAATCGGGGAGAATGTCTGAAGTCTTTAGTGTGCTGGTGACCAGCTCTCAAGAGTGGAGGAGAGGCGTACAGGTGAAACTCAAAATGATAGGGCCCTTCCACTCCCCAAGAGAGGAAGTTTAAAATAATCTGCATTTAGTTTTGAGTGTGAGTATGTTTCAGTATTTACCTCCATTTAAATATGAGCCTATATGGTGTGTTTTGAATTAATACCATAGAGCTTCTGCATCTCCCCATCCTGAGGAAGTACCGGTGTTCTTCCTCGGGCCAGTCACCAGGCTGAGGCAAACCAGTAGGTCCTGCATGTTTTGGGCACACGTGGAGGAAATCTCTAGCCCCAAACTGCTGATCAGTGCGAGCTATGTTCTGATGTAGGGAAGAAAAAAGATCTAAAAGTCCAGTACATGAAGAAATTAGTTGAAAAGAAGACACACTATCTTATTGAGAGCAAGGACTCCCTACCCTCCGTGCACATTAGAATTGCCTGGGCAGCTACTGAAAATCACCAACTCTCAGGTCACGGCCCAAGGGCCTCATGTGCAAAGATTTTTTTACATTGTCGATAATTTCACCCAACATGAATACAATAAGGATTTTTATTCCAAAACATATTTGTTGAATTCTTAGAAGCTTTTCTTCAGATCGACTTCCTCCTCTAAGAATAATTTATCCTCTGAAATGTGTCCCATTCAGTATTTTCCTAACTGAAAATGCAAAAACAAGACCCAGTTAAGCCCAGGATGGTGATGTGCCATCTCCTGAGGGCCAAGAATTCATTACCAAAACAACCCTTAGGGGTCCCATTTCCCGTTTTCTCTACTCAAATACAGAACTACCCTACCTGCAACCTACTGATAAATAACTTTGAGCTAGAAAAACCTGTTTTCTTTTTCTTCTTATTCTTTTTTTTTTTTTTTTTATCTCCGAATCAATGGCAGGTGACCAGTAAATATCCATTGGTTAGAATGTGTTATTTGTGTCCGTATCTTCCAGGAGTCACTGGCTCAGCCACTAGGTACCGTGATGAAAGGGATACTGTTGGTGGTGGTGGGGGTCCACCTGTCAGGCACCTCTCACCCAGGAAGGCCAGGGGAGCCTTGTGGCAGATCAGGGCAGGGATACTCTCTGAATGGAGTCTCGACTCCTTCTAAGACTCATGTTCCTTCCCTGTCACACTGACTTTTTCACAGTTAGCTTATGATCCTGTAGCTAATTGCAGTAGGGCCTTTTTCATTACCTCTGGGCAGATTTTTTTTTTTTAAGATTTATTATTATTTGAGAGAGAGCATAAGCAGGGAGGAGCAGCAGAGGGAGAGGGAGAAGCAGACTCGTGCTGAGCAGGGAGCCCGATGTGGGCCTCCTTGATCCTAGGACCCTGGGTTCATGACCTGAGCTGAAGGCAAGACACTTTAGCAGACGGAGCCACCCAGGCACCCTATCTCTGTGCAGATTTAAAACACCTATCCCAATGAAACTGTTTCGAGTAAGCGATTTGGTCCGGGGACTGTGTTGTAAGCACATTACTTATATGAGCTCCCTTAACTCTCATAGCAACTGTTAGGTGCTGTTATTCCCATGGTAGATTTGGGGGGACAGAGGCACAGAGAAAGCAGATAAGATCCCAAATAAACACAGCCAGTGAGGGGCAGAGTAGGATTTGGGCCAGGGCAAAAGGGCCCCAGGCTCTCACTGAGGTTATTTCCCTGCTTTTCCTCCCAAGCAGCCATCTGGGCCAGCCCTGCCCCTGCTGTCCTGTGTGACTGTGGATAATTCACATTACTTCTCTGGGTTTCATTCTCCCTCCTTGAGGGTTTTTGTGGGATCATCTTTGCCACAGTTCTGCACACAGTATCTGCACATAAGAAGTGTTATGATAGCTATTAGATGTACTTTAGGTTAATATGAATTAAAATTATATGAATTAGGGGCACCTGAGTGGCTCAGCGGTTGAGCATCTTGACCTTTGGCTCAGGTCATGATCCCGGAGTCCTGGGATCAAGTCCCGCATCAGGCACTCTATGGGGAGCCTGCTTCTTCCTCTGCCTGTGTCTCTGCCTTTCTCTCTCTGTTCTCTCATGAATAAATAAATAAAATCTTTAAAAAAAAAGATTATATTAATTAATATGACTCAATCAGCTAAGAAGTCAAGTCTTGGCACTTTTTTCCCTTTTTGGCTAACCAGTGACACTCAGTTCATGTTTCTATCCTTCTCTCCTCTTGGATTAGGCTACAGCGGATGCCCTGTGGCCCCGCCCCACCAGAGCTTGCACCCCCTTCACCAGCGCCACGTCACCGTGCCCACCAGCATCCCCCAGCAGCAGGTGTTTGCCCTGGCGGAACCCAAGAGGAAGCCTTCGCTCTTCTGGCACACGTTCAACAAACTCACCCCTTTTAAGAAATGAAAATGGAAGGCCACACTTTTCCTGAGGTGTCTGTAAAGAGGAGACCCAGTTTTGTTTCTCGTGTGCTGAAATCTTCTTGCAGGGACTGGTGAAGAATAGAAGGTCTGGACGCACCTCAGTCTTCAGAGGCCTAGCTCCTCCTCGGAAGGGAGACGCAGGTCATGACGCTCGGCCCCGATGTACACGAGACCCCTCTGGGGTCTGTGCCCAGACGGCTGGGCTGTGGGAACCGAGGACCTGCTCTGTGGAGAAGCTGAGCGGAGACCCCAGCGGGCATCGCTGATGACAGGCACACCCACTGCTGCCGTGCTGAGGAGGGATGAGATGACCATGCCACTTTTGCCTATGGATTTGAAGGGGACAGTAGTGATGATGGGGTTGGTATGATAAAGTCTTGGCGGCACGGGCAGGCTGTTCCTTCTTCCACGGTGTGAGAGGACCTACCACCGCAGTGCAGATGGCTGTGGGGTCCCCTGGTGTCATCTGAGTGGTTGCCACGCGGTAGCACAGGCTTCCTCTGGCCGGGCGGGGCCCGTACAGGCTAGAGGAAGAGGCATGACGAGCTCCGCATGGGGAGCATGGTCCAGGCAGCTTCAGCGGTCTTGAAGATGCAACTGCTTTCTGGGGAGCAAGTGCAGAGTCCTACCGCCCGGTGGATTTGTGCTTCTACAGTCAGGTCCCATCTGCCGGTGAGTGCAGCACATGACTCCGTGGGCAGAAATCACACCTCCTTGCACATCGTGGGCTTATGAAACTAGCCAGACATCTCCGTTTGCGATACAAAAACCCATTGACTTTAATTTTATGATAAAACTAATATGTACATGCACCAATGGCAAGGCATTCTTAGAGCATCAGTTCGCTTTTCCCATCAGGTGTTCATGGCATCCCCGTCCACTAAGTTAGAGTGACCCGAACATTCCATGGAGAAAGCATGAGGTTCGGAGCAGCCCACCTTCTTGGGATTCAAAGCCAACTTGGTTGCATAAAACCCAAACAATAGTGCTAACCACGCCCTTATTAACCCGTCAGGAGGGTTCTGAAGATCCTTTCTTTTTACAGAGACCTTAGAAACACACCTGAGACATAGCTGTCTTTACTAACGAAGGCCGTGTGGGCCGATACCTGGCCATAGTACTCTCCTTGTCTTTGTCTATATTGTAAATTTTGATGAAAATAACTTTTAAATACGTCTGAAGAAGACAGATTCTGCAATAGAGATGCCATTTAATTGTACTTAATGCACTGGACCGGGTATTGTAGTACACACTTGGCAGTTTCCTGGTCAAGAATCCCCTTTCTGTATGCTACGCTCAGAAAGTCCTGTTTTCCAATAGGCCCAGCTGGAGAATAAACAAACCTGTAGTGTCCTAGACAGAGGTGTAACCTGTGCCTCTAAGTGTCTGGTCCCTCCTTCCCCCAGCCACCTTCCCTCTCTATCCAGGGCCAGTCCTGAAGGAGGTGACATCACTGGACATCTGAGTGGGGCCTTAGAGCATTATCTGGAAATGTTACCTGGTCTGACCCTGCTCTGCCACCTTGATGTGCTCACTTGTATGTCGGACTGCTGCGAGGTCGTGCTGCCCTGGGGTCCCCAACCCTGGGGTGGCCTCTGTGGACGTCAGTACCCGGTGTCCCAGGATAGAGCTTGCTTCTGTGAGGAAGCTTCTCAGGAGGCGCTGTGGCTCTGCATGTACAACTGCACGTGTGTGTGTGTGTGTGTGTGTGTGTGTACGGGTGTGTTGTTTCTTCTTTGGATATTCATCTCGATTTTAGTTACATTTATATAGCTGACCTTTTTACTAAGAAAATGTAATGATATATTTTCAAAACGACACTTAAAATGCTTTTTGTCGACCCCTCAGCAATAACTATAGGAGTCTCTGTGCTAAACAGAGTTGTTTGTATATACAACATTTTTGAATAGTTGGGTCTTTTTATTTTTTAACAAAGATTACTTTAGGGAAGGAAAGAGAACCATTTGCTTATGTTACATTTTCAGTGATGATTCAATTCAAGTAAAGAACCACTTCATGGGCTTCCATTTACTAATGTTTCCTAATGTGCAATGAAGACGCGCTGTCAGTTCTGTGACCAGTCCCACTCTATTTCCCATCCAAGCCCAACCTGGTTACCACCTGTCCCTCCAGGCTCTCTAACAGGAGCAGGAAGCTCGGACACCAGAGCACATACCAGGCCCAGGGCCACCCCCGCGAGCTCAATACAGTGCGAAGAGTTGGTCGATCAAATACCCACCCCGACCGCTCACGGTGGTCCTGCTTGACTTTTTCAAAGGTGATTTTGAAAAATTAGAAATCTTTATAAGAAGGTAGAATGCTTTTGACTTTTAAATCTGTTCATCTAGCTTGAGTTTTATTACCAGACATATTGAGTTCTATAAAGAATAGGTGGCTCAACTATTAAAATTTTTAGGTTTACCCAACTTACTTTCTTGATTTAAGTCATGTAGCTTCACTTGGAAAGAGAAAGAAATAGACCAAGAGCCCCCAGATGGAATAAGATCCATGGATTTCATTGCGAATCTTGCTTTCTCCTTCCTTGTCTCCTTTTAACCCTACATTGCATAATACGGGTGCCCCCCAACACATTCTCTCTCTCTCTCTCTCTCTCTCTCTCTCTCTCTCTGCCTCTCTCTCAAAGATAGCACAACACTTTGACAAATTTCACTTATTATTTATGTTTCAGAATTTGCCAGCTCTGGGTCAGAAGAACCCTCTCAATTTTCATCTTACCTAAAATGCACAACCACCTTGCAGTAAATTGTAAACAATCATGAAATGGACTATTTGCAGAATCTTAGAGAAAGAGTGTTCTTCGTCTTTGGCCTGCAAGTAAGAAAAAGACCGGCAGCAACGTGCCAGAGTTTTCCTGGGTCCCTCCATAGTTTTCAGTTGATCAGTTCTTTTTCCCTACTGGATCTGATTTTGTCATTGAAAACATTTCACCCCCATCATCACACTGTTCCTAAATATCGTTGTGTCTTTTTATACCTAATCCAGACGAAGACTAACTCCATGCTTGTTCAGAAAATCCCCTCAATTCTGCATTGCTCTTGTCTAGACAGAAAGCAAAAGTGCATTTAATTTGAACTTTGTTTCACAATAGGATTCTTCTGTAATAGCCATGATCCAGCATTTATCAGTTGGAAAACTATGCATGCCCAAATTGCTGATATTTCTCAATACAAATCAACTTATTAGTTACATAGCCACACCAGAACAGCCTGCTTGCCTGGAGTTAAGGAGAAAATTGCTCTATTGTTATTTTATGGAAGAGAGGAGAAGTAGATGTGTGTCTCTCCCAGGACAGCACTAACAAATGTGGATACATGTCCTTTTGATGGCCAACATGCCAGGGATGCTGGGCACCAATCAGCTAGGTCACGCCGCTCAGAAACATTTGTCCCTTTAAGCTTAACCTACCTATTTTCTCCTTGTTAGAAATCCACTTGGCTGATACTGTTATCCTCAGGATGCATGCAGTGAAAGTAGAGTTCAAACAGTTTTGAAAAGAGTAAGTAGCAACTATCTGATCTTAAAAGGAAAAACCCAGAGGCTTACATATTTGATGCAAATATTCTTAGCTACCACACATTTAAGGTTGTCATCCTTAGTCATCTCCTAGGCATCGACATTTGTATTAAGAAAAAACTTTCCCTTAACTAATTCTGTAATTTAATAATTTGCCTCTTTTTTTTTTTTTTTTTGTAAATATTAACACCAGTTGTGTTTGGCTTACCTATTTTGCAAGATTTTCCTTGGATTTAACTCAACATCAAGACAATGTTGTTAAGTCACGTGACAGCCTCCAAACTGAATTCGCTGTTGACAGCTGAAGTGTGTTGTATGAGACTGCTAAAACTTGATATGTATTTCTGTTGAATGAAATTTTTGTAAAAAAAAAATATTATTTACAATGTTATTTGAATAATTCCTTGTAAATGCTGTGAATCTATATTTGTTGTTTTGTATCTGTATATTAAAGTTAATTTGCCAAACTGGTTCCAGTAATGCATTTGAGTAGTAAAATAAGACATTATATATATGTATATATTTTTTAAATAGCAAGTGCTAGACGGGTTTCTGGGACTTAGAGCTCATTTCCTGTCTGGACATTGATAGACTTCTCATCAGTACAAATTCATGCTGGATGAGCGGACTTAAGCCACTGGCTAGGTATGGGGGAAAGGGCTCCCACGTGAACAGGGAGGAGAGTCTCCACAGGTTGGAAATAAGTCTGATGAGATCAAGCCCAAAGTGATACGGCCTCCTCCGCCCTGTAGGAGCAGTGCCAGCTACTGATGGTGGATAGTGGATGGCAGATGAACTGCCTTCACAGGCTGCTGCTGCCCCAGTGGAGGGTGGAGATTGGACCACTTCACCAGGAGATCTACTGCTTACCCTTTGGGGGCGGGGAACATACGAATTTCCTTCTCTAATTAACAGCATGGAGAAGTTAAGTAAATAGCCCATTGTTTGCTGTGACTTCTAATCGGAAAGTATTCCTACAAAGGTTGCCAAGCAGCTAGTCCCCAGTGTTTGTTTACTCCCAACATCCTTGGGCTGCACTAGAAGAGGGGGTTGGCTTAGAGGTGAAGAGGGGAGGGGGAGCACTGGAAACCTGAAAGCCTGCCTCAATGGGGGCTTCCAGGGACCGAGGAGGTGCCACATGTAGGAAAGGGTGAAAAGAGAGCAGTGAAAACTTTATAGAAGTTTCTGAGGAAGGAGATGACCGAGCCGGACAGCCACCTGCCCTGTGGATTGGGGGAGCTCAAATCGGTAATGCTCCAAAGGAGCATGTGGTCAGAGACAGGAGACAGGCACATAAAGGTGTCATTAAAATTCAGTGTGAGTTATGCAGCAAGAGTGGTGCATTTAAGTTAAGGTCTTTAGGGAGCCAATTCCCTCATCTGGTGAGCTTCAGGGCAGAAAGGTGGCCCAGAAGATGAGGCCCAAGCAGCATCCTGGAGGGCTCACCCAGCGTGCCGGGGGTCCTGGGTGTGTTGCTTGAACTAACTTGCCATGGGTTGTGTAAGAAGCCACCAGTGGTGGAAGCTGGATCCCAAAGGATATGCCAACCAGGACAAGGTGCTGGGAATTCATTTTGAAGGCAAGGAAAGCCATGCCCAGATTTGCTCAGGAGCTCATGGCAAAGGAAAGGGTGTATTTAAAACCAGAGACAGGAGATGATTTGGGAAATGGTGTCCAGCAAAGAGATAGTGGGAGAGGAGGGGGCGATGGAGGTGAAGGGTGCTGAGCCACGGCCTTTCATGCACCCATTGGCAGGAGACATGGCTCCCTAGTTCTGGCCTGTGGTGCAGATGGCTGGGTGCTGGCGCCATCAATGGATTCAGAAAAGAATTTTGGGTTGGCCAGAGCCCATGTGATGATACTCTGGTCCCATGTGTGGGTAGTGCAATCCTGCGTACAGCTCCAGATAGAGGGGTGACAGTGGGACAGGCAGGTGGAGAGAATTGGGAATCCTGCTTTCTCTCTGTCTCATTTGAACCCCACGTTGTGTAATGTGGATGTACCCCCCCACACACACACACACTCACAAAGATAGCCCAATGCTTTAATAAGTTTCACTTACACTTTTTTTTCAGAATTTGCCAACTGTCGGAAGACAGTTGAAGTGGCCTTGGGTCAAAAGCAACCTTCTCAATTTTCACCCTAACTAAAATGCACAACAACCTTGCAGTAAATAGTGAACAATCATAAAATAGGACATTTGTAAAATCTTAGAGTGCAGACAGCTGAAGGAGGGGTCAGCCTGGAACACCCCCAGGGAGTGAGAAAGCAGAGCAAGAGAACAGGGAAGAAGCCTGGGATGGAGAAGGGGGAGGCCAGGATGACCTGGGACTGGGAAGGCCAGCAAAAGCAGGAGGAATCTTCAGCAGGGAAAATGCTGCAGCGGCCCTGTCCCGCTAGGAATCAAGAGGTGAGGGCAGGCTGTGGGATGGAGGAAGACAGAGGGCTGATGTCACCCAGTTAAATCCTGCCACTCCCCTGTGATGTCAGGACGGCTTGGCCTGCGGTGCAGATGAGGATGTTGAGGCCTGGTGAGGAGAGGGCGTGTTGCCTCTGTTCCCTGGGACTCGCCCTCCACCCGCGTTCCCCATTCTCCGTGTGGCCTCTGCAGGCCACCTAGGTTCTCTGATTCGGTTCTCAGCACCTCGGAAAACCAGCGTTGAGGAGTCTCTCCTCCTGATGCTATTTTCAAGTTAGAGACCCATGTTCATAGACTCTGGAAAAAATTAAAAATGAATGATTACATAGCATCGAAGAAATAGTCGCACCATGTTTCTCTCAGTGGCAGGTGGAGAGAGTGAGAGAGTGTGAGAGAGTGTGAGTGTGTGAGTGTGTGTGTGTGTGAGAGAGAGAGAGAGAGAGAGAGAGATCCCTGGGTGGCGCAGCGGTTTAGCGCCTGCCTTTGGCCCAGGGCGCGATCCTGGAGACCCGGGATCGAATCCCACATCGGGCTCCCGGTGCATGGAGCCTGCTTCTCCCTCTGCCTATGTCTCTGCCTCTCTCTCTCTCTCTCTCTCTCATAAATAAATAAAAATTTTAAAAAAAAAGAGAGAGAGAGTGTGTGATGAGAACAGCATGACATTTTAACATACACAGTGTCTAAGACCAAAGGACCTACTCAGAAGCCTGAGACATCTAGTTCAACAATGCCAGTTCCAAGGGTCTGAAATTCAAATAATCTGTTCCACTTCGGTTTAGTCCTGTTGGCCCATAATTCGCCCAAGGTCAGCAGGGGAGCTGCTCCAGCAAAGGCGTGAGCATCACTTTACAGAAGGACGACGCCGGCTTGCGGATTCCTTGGAGAGTGTACCTGATTTCTGTCCCTTTAGTCACAAGGACAGGGAGGGGGGTAAGGAGCTAAGTTTTCTGCACTGGTCCTGGGAGAAGATGCTACCTGACTCCTGTGTGGCTGCAATTTTTGAAGCTCTTCCAAGACATCTTGTGCCTTACTCCGCTCCCTCCCCTTCCTGCTGTTTTGCAGACAGGCCCACTAGGGAATTGTATGGCAGGAAGGCGTGATTTTATTTAGTTAGCCCTTGATTCCTGGTGTGTGCAGCACCTGGGTGCAGCCTGCAGCCCTGGGGGTCAGGTAAGTGCATTAGGAAACGATTTCTTTACATTCAACCTAAGGCATCGGAGTCCTAAAACAGCTCGTATGTTCTTGGTGTGCGATGACCCTGCTTAATTATTTGCAAAATAGGCAGAGTCTACAGAGTTTGGGTGGGGAAAGGAACAAGCTGGTCTCACAATTCATTCTTGAGGAAGAGAGTGGACAGGAGAGAAGAGCAGATTTTGAAGTTCTTTTGCCAGAACATTGCAGACTGGCTGGGAGGAGGGATGACGCTATAGAACAAATTGTAAGAAGAGCAGACTTTCCTAGAGAGCTTTCTAGAGAAACCCGCCGATTATCTGGCACAAATTTCAGTGTGTACATTTTTATATTTATGGCTATACTGATTTACATGGTGTAGCTTAGAAACAAGCCCCTCCACATATGTTGAAGAAGAAATACGTGAAGTGTACAATGTATGGGACATGTGGAAGAAAATGTATTTAATGAGGAAAAGTCTTGATTTTTATATTCTTAAACTGTTGAATCTGGGAGGGATGTTAGGGGTTTTTTTCATCCTTTGAGTTTGATGCACTGAAGCAGAGGCTCAGAGGCTGGGAGATCCATCACGGATTGCTCAGCTGGCCTCTGGCAGGTCTTTTATTAAATTAGGTGACCTCAAGGGACACCTGGGGGCTCAGCGGTCGAGCATCTGCCTTCGGCTCAGGTTGGGATCCTGAGGTCCTGGGACTGAGTCCCACATCGGGCTCCCCGCAGGGAGCCTGCTTCTCCCTCTACCTGTGTCTCTGCCTCTCTGTGTCTCTCATGAATAAATAAATAAAATCTTTAAAAACAATTAGGTAACTTTTTATCAAGAAATTTAGTGAAGGAGAAATACAGGTCAACATAGGAGAAACAACCCAGAAATCGGAAGTTAACTGAGTCAGGACCTATTGTGTGTGTCTGGGTGGGTGGGTGGGGGGGTCCTATAAAACAGTAACTCCAAAGCCCCTTGCATTCTGTGCCTCTGCTCCTGACGTGCCAGTGTGTCTGGTTTATGAGATCACAGCAGAAGGCCAGGGTCCTTCACCTCGGGAACTTGACGTTTAGCAGAGGGATTGCATCTATTCTCTCTGATTCACAGGCTTAGATGGATCTGTCTGAGGCAGTGATATTTTCAGTTTTTTAATATCCAGGGAGGGCTCGGCAACTCTGACAGTTGGGCTGACTATGTGTCACAAACCTCTCTCACTTTGGATGAGCGCTCACCCCTTTGACACAGAAGCCTTGTGTTAATCAAGACGTGGGCTTAGTAGTAGGGAAAAGAGACCCCAAATAAACAAGTTTGTAGCAGACTTCCCTCTCTCTCTCTTTCTTTTTTATGATTTTATTTATTTACTTGAGAGAGAGAGAGAGAGAGGGAATGCACAAGCAGAGGGAATGGCAGAGGGGCAGGAGAAGCAGGCTCCCCCCGGTGAGCAGGAAGCTGGACTTGGGGCTTGATCCCAGGACCCTGGGATCGTGACCTGAGCTGAAGGCAGACACTTAACCCACTGAGCTACCGAGGTGCCCCTATACTTACTTCTCTCTCATGTCAGGGATGGGCTGATGGGCAGGTCTAATCTGTGCTGGCATCAGAGACCAGAATTTTTCTATCCCCAAAGTGTTGCTCACCTTCAAGGAGTCCTAGATGTCTCAGCCATGCTCACTCCAGCCACAGGAAGGGAAGGTGCCCAGCGAGAGTACAGCCCTTCCCTTCGAGGCTGTGGTCCTTGCACAGATCCCTCTTGTTCACTTCCCACTGGCCAGAATCTAGTTTCATTGTATTATCTGGGTTGCTGCAAGGGAGACTGGGAAGTGTCCACTGTGGGCAGCCAGCTGCCACCTAAAATTTCTATTACTGGGAGCA